CTGCTCATTTCTGCATCAGCAATGGCTCCTGTGAGTCAGTGTAAATGTTCATTGCAGAGCACCACCAGATGTTTTCAACAGTAAATTATCAGTTAGAGGCAGCCTCTGCAGACAGTTAACTCACACTGTGTGCTTACGGATAAATTAATAAACGAGTGAATAAAGATTGCAAGATTGTGTAAAAAGTCCAGTTTGTTTGACAGATTGTGTATTTTTTCATGCCCAAACTGCATTTTGAGTGTTTTTTTTTCTTCCTTTTTTAAGTAGACATTATCCCTAATTGCATGAAACCGATTATTTAGTTTATCTCCTATTTGGAACTAACTGTCAGATTCCAGTGGTGACTCTATAGTTACAGATTAAAAGCCATGCCAGGCTGCTTTCTGTTTGGATGCGATAAGATGGATCTTCACTTCTTCACACTGTTCACTCAGATAGTTTAACACTGCGGCACACTGGAAGCTCCCTGTCCGACAAAGGTCATGGTAAACACAGAAAGATCAAGGTATTCAATCCTGCAAATGTTGTTATCCTTTGAAACATTTATTTTAGAGAATTTTCCCCATCTTTTGGATTCCGAGTGCAGTCCTAGTCTGTCGATTGCACCATGGCCTTGCAGGATGGTCTGCTCATTATAGTGGTTTGATTGAAAAGACTGGCTAGAGGAGAGAGATGACCCTCTCTCCTGTAGTCCTCTCATTTTGATTGGTCCCTGGAAATATTTTATTGGAACAGTTGGGGGGGGGAGAGAAACACTTGGCGTCAAAGAGCACCTACCCAAAGGATAGTCTTATATTTCTTGCATGGTTTAGAGCTTTCTTTTCATAAACTGTATTAAAAAAAAAACACCAAAGGACATTCTTTCTTCTCTGAACACAATTCTCAAAATGGAACCGCACAATGTTTAGACAGCATCCTCTGATAATGTTGTGGTTGGTGCAGAAGTGTGCTTGGTCAGCCAAATCCCCAGTCCCACAAATGTGTCTGCTGAGGCAGAGATTCCAGCAAGAAGTTACAATAAGCCTGCTCTCATTACAGTCCACAGGAACACACGTGTGTGTGTGTGCATACGTGCACAAACGTACATGTGTGTGTGAGACAGTGAGAAAGAAGTCCCTCTGGGCATTTGGCTGCAGCACTGGTGAAGATAAGGCAGTCTGATGTCTCCTGACATGGCCAATGATTCATAATTGAGGTAGGACAGCTGTTGCTGGCTGCACTGACAGGTCCCAGGGTGGATGACAGATGATAGGGCGCTCCTGGGCCAAACTATCCATCAGTCCAAATGTTCACTGTCCACTATCGGCTCACCTGTCCTTCATGAGCCTCCCTGGTATATGTTAACCAAGTGGCCACAGACAGAACCACATCTGTTTGACCTCCCTGAATACCAAAGTGCGTACCATACAGTGGATGGACACAACACCGTAAACACCTGCCCAGTGTGGTGTTACTAAATAACAAATAGACTTTATAGAGGTCTTTATAAGTTCAAGATCATTTTCTACAATCAGCATTCTGATGAACATCAGTTCATGAGTGAATAATAATCAAAATCAAGATTTAAAATAGTCAAAATGTTTTGTAATCTTTTCATAACCAACAGGAATACTGCAACTTTGTCACAAAATGTTTTGGTGAAACAGTTAGGGCAACAGTCTTGTATTTTCTTAATTCTTTTTCTTGGAAATCACTTTAAACTTTATTCAAAGGGGTGTACAGATAAATAATTACTAAATAAAAGCAATCACACAGTCATATTAATGATTAAGGGGACTCAAACACGAGCAGTCTGATGTCAATGGGTAAAATATTCCAATGGCCTGGGACTATATCTTCACAGTCCTGGTTGCCCTTGGTTACTAGCTGACTAGCTGAGCCCCATCCATCAATCTACAGTGACACAATGAAAGGAGTCAGCAAATCTGATATATATATATTTATATGTGTGTGTGTGTGTGTAGCAAAGCAATTTAATGCTTTGAAAGTCAGCAATAAAATGTGAAAATCAATGGCGAACAGGGAGCCAACATAAGTTGGCTAGTACAGAAGTAATATGTCTATATTTTTTGGTGCCAGTTATAATTCTAGCAGCAATGTTCTGCACCAATTGGAGTCAGTGGAGGAAGCCTTGACTGATACCAGCCTAAAGTGCATTAAAGTAGTCCAGGCGGGAAAAAATAAAAGTATATACAACAAGCAGTACACAACATGAAAAATTATTTTCTTGAGTTGAAAAAAACCCCACATGAATGGAAAAAATAACATCATGATTTCTAGCAATCCCAATACAGTAGGCACATCTGTATAAATATTTCTTTTGACTATTCCATTAATGCATTTAGATTAATTAAAAACAGAAGAAAGAAAAAAGACAACTTGTTTTTATTGCTTTGTTTACATCAAGAATAAAGTCCAATTTAAATGGTTTTTTTCCCCTATAACTTCTTCAGTTCTTTAATACTACATTACTACAGACATTATTTGCAGAGTACATTTTAAATTTCTTCTTTTAATTCATATTGTATTGTTTTCAAATTATAGACAGACGACCATCTTTGGAGCAACTAGGGGTGGGTGAACTGAGCTAGGATAAAAGGCTTTCCACCAGTTCCACGGAGGGCTTTAGCGAGATGCACATTTGATTTCTGGCCTGATTTTTGGAGAGATGGTTGATTGAAAAATGTATGAACCATGGTGGAATATCATCTAATTGACTCATCAGCTTAACATAATGGTGGAAGCAACAGTAACACCTAACAGGATAATGATTTTAGAATTAAATTGTGAGATTTGATAGCATCTATTTTATTACTAACATGTATTGATTAAAATTTCCTGTTTCTTGAAAATGTTGAAATTTTGAAAAGCTACATTATATGAGACCCCAATGTAAACAATCTACATTTGATCAAAATATAATCAATTATGGATGCAATTTAGAATTGAGTCTCCATGGTTGTCTGAATTTGTCAGACGATTGAGCCACAAAGTGAAACTGCAATTCCACATTGTCTGCATTTCGGTCTTATGAATATATAAGTATGAATGTTAAATTGAGGGAGAATTACTGTACTGCTCTGTGGAGTGAATTAGGAAGTTATAAGATTACCAAGTAGGCGAAATAACCCGATTTGCAAAACATCCAAGCCCTCCATATTAACTCAGAGAAAAAAGGCTGAAGTAAAAAAAAAAAAAACGTACTGTGCCTAAGGCTTTGTCATTGCCGTTGCCCTTGAGAAACAGGGATTCTAAAATCATGTGACATTTCCTTTATTACTCACTGTGACACTGCTGTTTAAGGGGCCTGCAACAACTAAACTACCTAAACTACAATGACAAGATGCACAATTTTGTATTAAAACACACACACAAACACACACACACACACACACAAAAGAAATATCTGATGTCTGGCTATATATAATATCTACTGTTTGCTCTCTGTGTTCTCAGTTTGTCTTAAAACCTCTGGAGTGGTGTTGCGTTAAATTCTGCTTGTGATAAAAATCTAATCAATCAATGTGGCTGACCTCATGGATCATTCAGGAAGAAGTCACCTCTAAGCTCAGTCTCAGAGTGTCCATTAGCCTCTCTGTGCTCATTGTCAGCTCCCCTCGACTGAGTGACAGTTAGTCAACCCGACCAAATTCATTTTCCTGTCTCTGTTGTGCAGTGTGCTCATCCTGCCCACTGTCTCAGCTTTTCCAGGCTGTTGCACTAACACTCCTGCACACATATTACCTCAGGGACATCAGCCTATGGAGGGCAACCCTTTTTCTGCCTCATGGCATACCTGAGACCTGAGCCCATTGCCTATGACAGCAGTAGCTTTCAGAACATGTTATGAATTTCACTGAGAGCTTGGGATAGATGTGGTTGAATTAGCTTTGATGGTGCACTTATCTTTCAAGACAGGAGCTGGGTCCAGCAAGCACAGAACAGCAACATTTAATCTGTATGATAATCCTAAATTTTAGCTATTTTAATGTCATTTTGAGTTTTAGTAATCTTTAACATCATATCACTCAGAATGATTATTATTATTATTATTATTATTATTATTATTAGCTTTAATAAAAGTGTATCATACCCCAACACTATTTAAGACATGCCACAAGGGAAGGTGACATATTTTTATTTTTATCATACAGAATAATAACCACGACCTGTTGTTGGATTAACATACCTCTTCCCTAGTTCTGTGGGGAATGAATCAGATGTTGCTCCAGAATGTGTCAGTACTCCATTATCCAGACAGTTTAACTACATGCAATCCTCCAGAGGTTCCCTCACCAGATTTAGCTGCAGATGCTGTTCAAACCTGTTGAAGACATAAAGCACTGCTGTCAGAGTGGCTTACGGGCACACGGAGAACACAGGAAGAGGATGAGTCAATCGTGCAGCAAAACACGAGTGGAATGACCCAGGCAGATTCTACAATTACTCAAAAACATGTCTACAATCCGAGAGCAGGTTAACAAAGAAATGACGAAACCAAACATATCCCTGCGCAACTGTGATAGACAACTGAGCAAAGTAACACAGCGGGTGACCCATTTTTTAAGAACAACTTTGTTAGACTACTTTAAATGGGAACAACAGTAGCGGCGCTGAATAAAGATCCCATCTGGTGTGAACTGAGACCTCATAAGTCAGCAGTGTGTCACCGGTTTTGTGTGCAATGTGATTTTTTTATGTTCAGTGTTGGTCTAGTTATAAGTAAAAATGAACTTTGTCTGTTGGTCTTTTCAAATACTGCACATAAATAAATGTGCTCACTCAGAATAAATGTGCTCATTCTAAAATATCTAAAAATATCATGCACTGACTGTTAGCTTTGATAATTATTTGTGCAATGTGATACTCTGTAAAGACCCCTTTGAAAAGGGTAAGCCAGTCAGTGAACCACATGCTACCATGAGATCATGCATGATGTGCAAAAATGCAGCAATAAAGGCCTATGTGTAATCATATGGCACGGTCTCTTTTTTTTTTAGGTGCTAAATGTGAGTGTGTTGGAGGGGGAGCAGGTGACAGTGGAGGATACAGGTGGCCGAGAACCATTCATCCTTGCCAATGAGTCAGTCTTGATGAGGGGCCTTGTACTACGCAGCTGGAGCAACCAGATCTCCATCCGATTTCGTAGCGACCAACAGCACAACTCCGGGTTCGTCCTGCTGCACTACCAAGGTGAGCCACTACCATGCCAGCTACATTGTCAGATTGTTCAAACTGTGCATCAGTCCAACAACTGCTCAGCTTAGTCTCACAATGCATTCAAATTGTATGTACAAAGAAAAAACTAACTTGTACCAGCCTTTATGCTGCCATCACTTTTATTTACAGAAATGGAAGAGATTCTTCTTCTTTGCTTCTTATCATGTTGCAGCTATCACCCAACAAAGATAGGGAGGGAACAACTGTCATTGTAGAAATGTACTCTTGTGCTCAGTTCACATAAAAAAAGTATTAACAAGGTCTATTTTCGTATAAAATGCTCTGTTCCAAAACATTGCCTGTTGGGTGGATATTGTTTTTTTTCCCACACTTGTCAGTCAGATGTCCATGGCAGGAGGGAATATAACTTGCGGTTCATATAAAAACATTAAATGGTTTTGTGAGTGCTGAATTCCATCGGCCTTTGCAGAGATTAAAACAATACTGAATGAAATGTGGTCAAATAAGAACATGGACACACAGGGTGTAACAGCAGCAAAATCTGTCAGCAGAGATAGTTACTGTATGTTGTCGGTGAATATGACGGCCCATAAATATCTCCCCCTTCCTCTCTCGCTTGTTTTGTGCCTGACATTGATCTTCCATGTCCGCAACAATGTCTGTTTATCTTAGCAATCACACAAAGTGGCCACCAATTACATGCCCCATCGATTTGAGTTGATGGTGGAAGCTAGTGGACAAAACATTCATTCCACCACATTATTGTAGTGCTTTCATCAGCTCGAAAATGAAAGCGACCATCAAAACAGTGCTGCTGACGTGAGATAAATCAGCCCATCGCTGTTGGATATGCGAATACGGGTGTGTGGTCAGGCTGAATGATGACAGCGAGGGGTCAGTACAGATTATACAGGGTGATGCATAGATGGGGACAGATATTTACAAATGGTTGAAATATATTACACTGTCAGTTGGCGTACTTTTCTACTTCACTTTTCTTTGCATTTCAGTAAATCTTGTTTCTCTCTTTCGCTCTGATTTTGTGTGATTTACTGATGAATATAGATGGACATCCTGAACTATATATTATATATATGACATTTGTATCAATACAAATACCTATTTATCGATCCATTCCACAATAAGTGTTAGATAAACCCAATGGTCACACTGCACCTGGTCATAAGAGGTGTCTACAGACACACTTGGTGGCGGCACTATACAAGATGCTGATGCCCATAATATTATTTATTGAAACTGCTGGCTGCTGCTTATTTTGTGACCCATGTGACATTTGCTCACATGGGTCACAAAAGTAAGAAGAACATGAATAATCAAGTGATTTCTTATAATCCATGCAAACATTTGATCTTTAATAAGATTATAACCTGGATAAGACTCATAGCAGGTTTGTCCTTCACACCAGTCACATACTTGTTAATCAGTTAAAGAAAATATGAAATGATAAAATCTGTACTGATCTTAAACCTGGATATTTATGAATAATATAGCCTACTGTAAGTAGAAAGGACAGAAACTGTCATTTGTTGGATATTGAGTGACCAGGTTTCTTATGTTGTATGTCATATCAAAAATATGAATAGAACCAGGATAAGGTTCATATCAGGGACAATAATAGTAAATCTACCCTGATAATTGACTATGTGTTGTTTACAGCACAGAGTAGAAGTTAAGCAAAGCTAAAAAAATCAAACTCCATTATCATTAAATAATTATAAAAATATCAACCCTCTCAGGGGTGCCTGTGGATGTCTGATCCAGGGCAGTGTCTAGCTTCATTCTCAATACTTTTAATTAGTTTGTTTCAAAACAATTTATTTGATATAAAGCGGGCTTCATCTTAACATTGATGATTGATATCTGTCTGTCTGTCTGACACAACAGTAGATATTCCAGGGCACTTTATGATATCAGTTGTTATGACCCTATAAAACCCTTATGAAACACTGTCACATAGACAACTTAGGTAACTCTGTATTGTAATTGTTTGGTATATAAAATCCCTGCTGTCAGATGTGTGGCATTACCTGTCCACCAACATCCTATTTGGTTTAGAAGACAATCTGACAAATTGTGTTTATTTAGTTACTAATGAGAAAAAATGCAAAGAGCAGATTTATAGAAGACTAGGCATATTGGATACACAGAAGATATTTCAATTTGTGTTCCTCTCCTTGGTAAGCAGAGTATCACCTTGTCCTTTATAATGGGCTGTGAGAAATGTGATTGGACAAGCGTGGAGAAGGAGACAGAACTGTGGAGAGATGGATCTCAGCTCAGGGTAATTAATATCTGCATAGCGTTGGCTCTGCCTGCGATGGCAGACTGATGGATGCCTCTATAACATCAGCGGTGAGCTTGAAACTTGGAACATGACTATGAGTGTGTTTTACTATTGATATGTATAGGAGTGTGGGACAGGAGAGGGGCATTCCATTTTCCTTGTACATTCTTATTCTTATCTTTTCCTCAGTACACATGCATTATGCGCATATCCTCATCTACATAGAACATCCATTGTTCATTCAAATCAAATCAATTGTATTTATAAAACAACCCCAAGTGCTATACAGACCAGAGCAGGTAGAGGAAACCATAATTAAGAAAAACATAATTTAAAAGAAATACAGACATTAAAAAAAGTCACACCACACAGGAACGCAGGACAGCCAGAAGCCAGCAGACCTGAGAGACCTGGATGTAGAATAACAGGGTTAGGGGGTCTGCAATATAGTAGGGAGCCAGCCTACGAAGAGATTTATAGACATATAGGAAAACCTTAAAATCAATTCTGAACTGTACTGGCAGTCAGTGGAGAGAGGCCAGAATAGGCCTAATATGGGCCCTCTTCTGAATACCTGTCAGGAGCCTTGCTGCGGTGTTCTGGACCAACTGTTAGTGGGACAGGGATGATTGACTAATTCTAGTGTACAGAGAGTTGCAATAGTCCAGAACAGAGGATATAAAGGTGTGGATGACTTTCTCAATATCTTTGAAAGAGAGAAATGGCTTAATTTTAGCAATGGTGTGAAGTTGGAAAAAACTAGCTTAAACTACAGCATTAAAGGGGAACTTCGGCAGATTTTTACCCGAGTCTTGATCGCTAGATGTCACTGAGTACTGTCGATAGGAAAAACAATGACCAAAACCGATGCTAGCAAACTGGAGTTCCTGCAGCTAATGGCCAGAGCTGCCCAGTTAGTTATAATACACTTCTTGGGGGCATATCCTAAAGAGTGCCTTTTGCTCCTCTTAACAGAAACAATAAGCAATTAAAATGTCTGTGCAACATGATCAGGGCCCTTACGTGACAACAACATGCGTTTTCAACTCATACATTGTGCAGAAACCGTTTAAATTCAAAGTTTACAAGTACTGTCACCTACCTGTTTTTCCATTGCTCGCATCACGAAAGCCCAGAAGAGTCGATCACGAGACTCGCGCTGAAGTCCCGTGGGAATTCAGTTGTTGTAGTGTGCAGATTGGAGCGTAGTGTGTGAAGACATTGACATTTTTGAGGGGGAAATAAACTTTTTAAACTTAAAGTTTTCGTCGCTAAGGCATGACTTCCGTGATCGACTCTTCTGGGCTTTCAGTGAAGCGAGCGATGGAAAAACAGGTAGGTGACAGTACTTGTAAACTTTGAATTTAAACAGTTTCTGCACAATGTATGAGTTGAAAACGCATGTTGTTGTCATGTAAGGGCCCTGATCATGTTGCACAGACATTTTAATTGCATTTTGTGTCTGTTAAGAGGAGCAAAAGGCACTCTTTAGGATATGCCCTCAAAAAGTGTATTATAACTAACTGGGAGCTCTGGCCATTAGCTGCAGGAACTCCAGTTTGCTAGCTAGTTTGGTCGTTGTTTTTCCTATCGACAGTACTTGGTGACATCTAGCGATCAAGACTCGGGTAAAAATCTGCAGAAGTTCCCCTTTAACTTGTTTGTCAAACTTAAAGGCGGAATCAAAAATCATACCAAGGTTTTGACATGTGGTTAAACAATGGTGGACAGGTTGCCAAAACTTGATGGATTTCATTCAATTTTAGAAAATTCTGAGCCATCCAACCCATTATATCCTTGAGACAATTCATGAAACTGATTAATCACACTTGTTTTTTAACTGCCAGATCACTAGATGTGTCCTCATAGTCACGTATTTTGCTCTTTCAGCCTTAACCACTTAATTATATTTGTGAAGATTGTGTCTCAATATTTCAAAGAAAATCTTAAGTTTGTCACACTTCCACTTTCGTTCTGATCTTCTGCACTATCTCCTTAAGGCTCTGATGATGTCGCTGAGCCAAGGCAGACCTTTAGGCTTAGGCTTTTTCTATTTAAGGGAAGCAACGGAATTCAGGATAGAAGAGCAGGTGGTGTTAAATAAGAAAGTAAGTTCCTCAGTGGTGAGAGGGGGAAGAGAGCCTCAGAGCACTTATTGGCAGTCAAAGAGTTAATGAAGCGGGACCAATGTACAGGGAGATGAGCTTTAGACAGAAAGAAAAGCAGAGGTGCGACAAATAAAACACTCTGATCTGACAGACAAGCATCAACTATTTCAATATTGCAGGTCAGAAAACCAGACGATAAGACTAGACCAAATGTATTGGCTAGTTTGTGAGTGAGTCCAGTGGGAAGAAGAGCAAGATAAAATGACTCAAACAGATGCATACATTCATTCACAAGAGGCTTAGTAGGAAAGTCACCAAGAATCAGGACTTGGTCAAAGTTAGGCATAGTGTTTGAGAGGAAGTCCACGAATTGGGTCATCAGTGGTGGTTTGTGTATTTTAGTTAGACTAAAGTGCAATTAAAGTGGGATTGACCACGCCTACTTTGATTAATTGCACCTCGAGGCTGAAAATGATCAGAGTTCACTAGGCAGCAATTAAAATGTTATTAACACACAGCGGCTACACCTTCTCTAGGATCTAGATCTTTTCTGCTAAAAAAGTTACAATCATCGAGACAGAGTTCCCCAAGTGGAGCAA